CATTAGTTACAGCTCATTAGGAGCTATCGTAGTCAAAATAATCATTAAACAATGGTTTGTTTACTTCCTTTGTTTACTTTTCTACTGACTCCCGTTTTTCACAAAAAGTAGCATAATAACCTTCCATTCTGCTACGCCTAAAGGTAGCTTTCAGCAAATCTTTTTCTTTCATTGATTCATTTGGTATTATTCTTATTGTTAAACATTTTTTAATGGCTTCGGTCAGACATTTCAGTGAATACAGTGTCAGGGTCATAACATTATTAGAGGACGGTACAGCCAGCGCGAATTCGCCGGGAAACTAAGAGTAAAACATTCTACAATAGGATGGGTTCAAAGGCGCTTCAGAGGAACAGGGCTTCACACCAGAAGGCCAGGACAGGGTCGACCTAGGTCTACGGACGAGAGAGATGATGGATTCATCTATCGTCAGCCTCTAAGAAACCGCAGCATTATGGGAAGTGAGATAAGAAATCTGATAAGACATATCCGAAATGTTTCGATTTATTTTAGGCCTGTCAGAAGAAGGAACCTCAGGGCCCGGCACCAGGCTCGTGGTCCTGTCCTTACCACAGCGCAGAAAATGTCCAGGCTTCAATTTTCATGGGAACTTGTGAATTGGACATTGGAAGATGGGGGACGAGTTCTCTTTACAGATGAGGTGTGAGCTGGTCTTAAATCTTCAGATGGGCGTAATATGAAGACTCCCAGGAGAAAGGTACCGTGGTTTATGGATCTCAGGTGGCATTCCACGGTGGGTCATTGATGTTCTGGGGTGGTTTTTTCTTGGATGCCCGCACGAATTGGTTGTTGTGCGAGGAAGAACTCTTAACTTGACAGAGATACAAGACATAATCGAAGAACATGTAGTGCTACTTGCCCCCCCTCCTACATCGGCAAGAAATTATTGCTAATGCAGGATAATGCCCCATAGAGCACGTATTGTGGGTGACTACCCGAATGAGATTGGAATTGACTGTTTGCTGTAGCCAGCTCGGTCTAGATTTGAACCCAAACAAACACATTTGCGACCAACTCAAGCGAAACCCAGATCCTAACACCTTAGAAAAGTTAGAAATGGCCGTTTTTGATGAATGGGAAATAATTCCTCAAGATTTTATCAGAAATATTTTCCAAGGTACCCAAAGGCGTTTAACGGACTTGATTCATGCCAGAGGTGGCAATACTCGGTATTAAAGGGGATTATTTTTTTTACATTTTCTTTTTAAATGTCTTATTTTTACTAAACCTATAACCTATTTTTAGTATGCAAAATATAAATAAACCTTAACACATAAAAATTTAATGGTGGGGCGTTTATTTTGTCCATTAATGTATACACAATAATAATACAGTCGACCCTTATGCAGAGAAAGGTTGCTCGATGTGTCCCACATAATAGAGGCGTGTCATGCCTTGGCTACATACAGAGAGCGTGTAGGCATGCCGCCGGATTTAAGAAGAGTCCTCGAGCACGGTAGCGAGTTTCAGAGTCCCCTGTTCCGCTTTTTAGGGGAAATTGGGGCTTTTTATAGTATGTCTTATGTGTTATGTGTCTATATGTTTTGTCTGTGTGCATGTATTTATTAGCGTGAATGGCGAGGGATGAGGGTGAATATAACGTCATCATCGCCCCTCGAACGATGAAAGCGGGTGAGTGTGTGTTCGGGGTCGATGGCGGAATATTTATAAAAGTACCCCATCGACCCCAATCTAGTTTAGTTTAAGTGTAGGTCGGTGGAGGAATATCAAGTACTCCACCGACCAAACGGAATGAGTGTACTGTATGGATGTATTTATTTGTATGAATGTTGTGTTTGAACGGGTATAGAATATAGAATATAGACTTAGTGGGGGGCTGAAATGACCTAGATGTCGGAAGCCCCAGCAAAAAAAAAAAAACAACAGTCGACTCTCGACCTTAATAACTCGAATTTTTTCAAATTCCCCTCGTTTTCCTATAGTACTGTCCATATTTTTACCTCTATATGTGTATTTTTATGTGTTAACAGTTGTTGGTAGTGCTTGAGCCTTAAGGGACCACAGATCTGATGACCTGAGGGGTTTAGTAACCGGGGTAATGTAGTAGCCCTGAGTGTTATTGAATAGCGTGGAGGGTATTGATTAGTCGGATGGATGTTGTAGCCAATGCTAGTAGTGAATGTGCATTGAGGGACTACAGAAGTGATCAACGGGGGAGTTTATTTACTGGGGTGATTTAGTGATTCTGATGGAATACTTGTAAAGCTATCTAACTTATAATTTTTCATTAAAGATCTCCATATTTCCTAAACTATGGAAGCAAATTAGTCTATTTGTAATTATCTACATACTTACAGAACTCACATCTTCCTACCTTCAAATTCTGGCTACATTATTCTAAAGAAGTAGATCTTTTATTCCCTTCTCCTTGCTAGATTTAAAGCATTATATTTTCCAGTGTCCTCCACTGTTTCCTTAGAAGCCCTGTAGGCTCGATTTCTACTAGTGCTGCAACAATACTTCCGAATAAAAAGCAGCTGTTCAACGTGCGCAACCCTCATATAAACAGTGGCTCGACCAACTCAGACTACACTCGTCGACGAGATCTTAACTATGACCAAAGACGATCCACATAAAACATGGTCAGCGTAACAGTTCAGGCTTATCAGTTGATATTTGCCCCCCCAGCGCTCAATAACTCCAAAACAACTGGCACTCAAGACCACCACTACATCACTCCCGTCACTAAACTCCTCAGTTCATCACTTCTGTAGTCCCACAAGTCTCTAGCCTCGGTATGCCAATAAACAGCTAAGGCAAATTATCTGAGAATAAAGAAACTATTGGGATCAAATGGAGGCCAAATTCTTCACATGACCCTGGAAAGGGCTGGGCTTGATCTTCAAAGTAAAGGCAGAAAGTTCCATTTGACTTTATAGTGTATTAAAAAAATCACAAGTGTCGTTTACGTTAATAATGTTCTAATCTTTGACCTGTCGATGGTTGATATGGATTGAATGGGGTATCGCGTGTCCCGAAGCATTGTCACTAATGACACCTTTTTATACTATGCACTCGGGTTTAATTGAACCAGTGCCTGATATCAGTCTAGCTGAGGGAGGTGTGTTTAAATACAGGCCGAGTTTAATTATTCACCGTTAACCGACTCGCGATCGTTAAATACCGTTTATATCCTTAACGGCTTATAAAATAAAATGAAAAGCTCGTGATTTTTATGTATTTTTTAGAAAATTAATCAGCCGATCGTCATAACCTTGTTTTCACTTTATCGACCAACTTGCAGAGAATTTGAGAGGTTTGAAAAAAAATTTCTCGTATACTTAATTTTTCCCTGGGGAGTATTGGCGTCTGTCCTTAAGAGAGGAACGTGACTCGGTGACCGGGCTTGTCCTCACGAAATTCTTTCGCCTTCCTTCTTTCTCTACTCTGAACGGGCACGTGCTTATTCAAAGTCGTAACGAAACCTCAAAGCGAAAGGATTCGTCAAGCCCAACCCGCTCCTGAGGCCCAGGGAGCTTTTTCCCCATATCATCTCTTAAGATTTAATTGATCATCACTGTTTTCTTATGTTATTGGAAAAAATTTTGAAATAAGACTAAACGGTTATTTGTAGTTTTGGATATTTCGGTAGGCCACATTTAACGGATCCGATCGACAAAATCAAACACATAAATCACACGCAAAACTAATCTAATCTCAATTAAATAGAATAAAAAACCCTATAAATTCCAGTCAAGGAAACGAAGGATTACGAATTACACTATACAACAAATTTCAAACAATACAAACGATTTATTTATAATGGACAAACAAACCGACAAAAAAGACTAGATGTGGAAAATGTGGTCAGCCATAGATGTAGACTTATTCTTAAGATGAAAAATGGATGAAAGTACACCAAAAATATAAATGTCGACAAATTTTTCCCGTATAGTGGCCTAAGTGTTGCTTTGGAACTATTGAGCAGCGTGGGGGATGTTGATGACTTACCTCTTTCCTCATTACCCATGTTTTATCACTTGACAATGCGTTTAAAAATTAACAGAATTTTAGGAAATGTTGTGAGGTAAAAGAGTGACGATAACTCAAATTGGCGAAATGCCGAATTATAAAGAGATAATCCAAGGATAAGGAAGAGCTCTGTTAAAAGTGTATCCTCTCTTATAGGATTTTGTATATATATTTCAGCCTGCGGGAGGTCAGAAGGTCTTCCATTTAAAGATATAAAAAAAAGTGAAAGCGGCATAAAATAAAATGCTTAGCGATAGAACGAAGAAATGTCACAAAGGCCAAAGGGATTGGGATGACCACAAATTTAAAAAACCTTTACCAAAAATGGATTTCGGAATTTTTATTGGGTGCACATCGATGATGAAACCGAGGTCTGAAATTTGTCTTTGTTATCGAATCTGAGAGAGTTAAGCACCTCGCTGAACCTCCCTAGTTTTTTCTCTGTCTGAACTTTGATCTTACGTGATTTTCCCGTAGGTTGGTCACGCTTTTTTTGTTATTCGTGGGTCGAAATTTGAAAATGACCCTAAGTGCCACTCTCGCAATTACTACTGACCCAGGTTTTCACCCGTGCCAGTGGCTGGCACGCTCCCCAATAGAAATGTGAAACTTTTTTTTATTCAATACAAATACAACCTCAAATTTTCATTTAAATTTATACCATACCGAGATTTTATAAATTCCTATTGACTAAGACCCGCAAAGGGCAAAAGGGATGTGGGATTCTCAACTGTGTAGTCTAAAAACTATCCAAATTTTAATTAAAAAGCCCAAAAATACTCAAGTAACTTTAAGTAACCTTGGTGTGACAGGATTTACTTCTCTTAATAACTTATAATAATTTAACAACTTAATTTTCACGGTTTGTTAAATGAAGGCTGTGCTTATTCATTTTCGTGATGCCTAGAGGTTGGAGGTTGCTCATTTCTCACGACCTCATAGCATGATTTATAGGAAATTAAATCTACAGATCTGACAATATTTACCTTAACTTCAGGCGCATTGCTTTTCTGGGCGACATGGCGATGAATCCGGTCGATTTTGTCGTATGAGCAATTTTAAAGTTCGAGGTACACTGAAAAAAAGAAAGAAAATTTAAATACATTTCTGATCACAGAATCCTTTCAAAGAATTTGTATTTCCTACTGACGAAAAATGGTGAAAATGATTTAAAAAAAGGGTTGAAATTTTCCTTAGGAGTTTTGATCTGAATCTTTGGATGCGTTGGGAGTTTGAATCCAGCCAAAATCATAGATTCATTTCTGAAAGGATATGGCAGAAGTATACATACAAAGTTAATATAAAAAAACTTACAGCTTTTTGTTTTTCATTTTTTATTTTTAGCTGGTTTAATATCTATAATATAATGTATACTGTGCATTTTTTTTTAGTTTTCCAGCCGTTTATTGTTATATTATTGATATTTAATGTTAAACAATCAGAGTTCTTCTAGGATGTTACTTTAAAAAACTCATCAGACTACAATAAATAATTGGAAAACTACAAAACATACATTATATTATAAAAGTTGATATTCGTTTTCTACAAAAAAAAAAAAAAAAAAAATCTGGATTTTTCAAAATTCGACGTGATTAGAACGGTATAAAGGTCTATTTATCTACTATCATCCTATGTAAATAAGGTTTAGATTGCATAGTAAGTGAGAAAAATAAGAATGAAATTAGCAAAAACGATTTATAATTGGTTGAAGTCGTGAGGCGCGGTAAAGAATGAAGTAGTTTAGAAAAAACCTTTTTCATTTTTTTGCCGACTTTTCGACCTGTGAAAGTGTTGTGCCACACAAAACCAATATGACACCACAAGAATAGCACCATACTTTATGCCCTGAAGATGACTCGAAAGGTCGAAAAGTCGGCAAAAAAATGAAAAAAGGTGTTTTTCTAAACTACCTCATTCTTGACCGCTCCTCAAGACTTTAACCAATTATGATTAAGAAACACACACAAAAACGTTTTATTTTACTTTACAATTAATTAAGGTTTTTAGTTGAGATGAAAAAAAAAGTTAATGGGACGAGAGGGATTCGAACCCACGACCTTCGGCTAGATACGCCGCTGCTCTACGAGTTTTATTTTACATCTCTGTTTTATTTAAGGAGACAGTTTATGCCATTACATGATTTTTGGGTTCTGAGCTCATATAAAGTTTCATGTGGATCAATGGAATAGTTTTATCACTATTCTTGTGATTTTGGACGAAAAATCTCAGGCTATTGGAAGGAGAAAAATTTGAGAAAAAAGTATTTCTTGATTTTCTCAAAATTCATTTAGGGTGCAGAAAACGAATATCAACTGTGCTCGGTTCTAGAGTTTTCTATTCATCTGGGACAAAAAAAAAAAACTAATTCCCAGAAAACTACCGGTAGGCGACGTTCCGAAACATGGAAAAGCAGTAGAAGGGGTTCCCTGTTAATGTATTAAAATCGGACGCTTAATCCACTGAAACGTGAACGATTAAAATATACGCTGTAGTAAAATCGGACGCCGAACCCACTGAGACTAAAACTGTCTTTAAAATAAATGAAAACGACGGTGGCGTTCAGCCTGAATTTGCGTGAACTATTAATATTCAAATATTGGCACAAAGCACAATCTGGACGTCCACTACAATATTGGTACATGTGCTGCTCTGATGATGATGAGCCGAAAGCACTGGCCCGGCAAATCGGCGTCAATATACGGATGCTATTTGGCCCAGGACGCCGGTTTAAATATAAAATTTCTTCGAGGGGACGCCGAGTTGATAGGATGATAGGAAGATGTATNTATATATTATTAAATATGATATAATAACAAAAAACAGAGTACATTTCCATGTTAGCTGGTTTATATTACTTTATTTTCGTTAAGTGTAATTATTTCATTCAATTCATTAGATGTAAAGTACAAGATTAGGATAAGGCTGATGACGCTAACAATGTAAGTAAAAATGTACTACTAAATATTGGAACTAAAGGCTCCATCATTCAACCTTTAATGATGGAGTTCCACCAAAAAGTACAACGGACCTCGAAAAGATCCTTTACAAATGTCTCCGATTCTTTTTTCGGAAAATAATAAAAATTATGCTAATTTTGAACAGAAAACGATTTTGAAATTTTAAAGGAATGTAGTCGGGTCGCCGTGTCCGTCAGGGTACTGGAAATTTTGCCACTTTTTCTGCTGAGCTTTCGGTGCATTATAATTACTTGAAATCAATTTAAATCCTGCGCTTCTTAGAGTTTCGACGCAGGCAACTAGATAAACTCCTTATGAACATTAGACAAAGAGTCATCTCTTGTCGATGGATATCCTCTCTTTTCACTCCAACTGTTGTAGGCTCATTGAAACCCTGCCATATGAAATATTTAGGAAGACATTCCCATCCTTGAAGTGTATTGGCTATATAGTCATCAAATTTTTGCCCATTGTTGAGTAAAAAAATCATGTGGAAATACAAACAATAATATAAAAAAGGATCTGACTTAATTGCACACCATCATGAATACACGACAAAATGAAATTTCACCAGTTGAATTTGTGCTAAATCCAGAGGAAGTATATATTTTTTAGTCTTAACCAATTTCTTTCGGCACAGTTCATAGACATTTCAACAGGTCGTAAAAATGAAACGTCCTTCACAACACTTCTGCTGTTGCTAAATAACCGTTTGATTTTGGAGATTCCCCTTGTGATATATGAGAGCGATCGCCTATCTTTCAGAGGCTGAAAATGATCCTCCCCTTAGGCACTTTCGGCCTCCGAGACTAAACCACATATCTCGGCGTGGTATTATTCTTCCCGGACTATTATTTACCTCATGAACCGGTATGGTATTCTAATACCGACTTACACCACATTCATGAAAGTAGCTCTTTCCATTCATCACTATACTTAATAAAAAACTGAGGTACAACTCCTTTTTTAATCTTTGTTTTCACAAAGAGGTTTTATTAAGCGGGCCCATTATATAATCTCTTTTTCGGACAGTTGTGATCTCATCTTTTCATCTTCTCATCGGAATTGCAAAACACCAGGGGGGCCATCAGTGCCTGAGGACCTGCCTGTCGAAAGTTTACCTTCGTGAAGCAATAGCCCTATAGGAAAGGGTCGAATGGATTCCCAGGGTGAATGCTTAGCTTGAAATCTAAAGAGCGTGTGATTCGTAGATGACGTAAGACAGAAGATGAGCAAGGCCGATTTTATTTTGGGACCCAGCCGACCTTTCACAAAATTCGTAAGCCCCTCAGCGACAGCGGTGGTCGTCGATCAAATCTTAAATGAGCTGGGCGCCCTGCAAGCTCCTATAAAGTTGTAAAGTTTCATATGGATCTGTGAAGTCCTTTCAAAGTTATCACAACTTTTATGAAATTCCGAAAAAATAGGCATTTCGAAGGCGAAAATTTTGAGCAAAAAATTTAATAATGTAATAACATGCAATCTACCTCATAGTAATAAAAAACTATATTTAATCATGTTCTATTAAATATTGCAAAAACCGTACAAAATAAAATGCGCTACAATAATAATAATGGAAATAAAACTAAAAAAGGCAAAAGATAGATAATCAAAGTTGTGACTTAAAAGTAAAAAAATCCATAACACCCTGAATTTGAAAGAAAAAAAATCAAATTCTTTTTAGGCATCCCTCAAAACCCTTAAATAGGAAGTTTTATGGGGAACAAATTCACTTTTGGGTTGGATCAGCACGAGCCATTTTTTGCCGATGTCTCGCATTGTGAATTTAACAATTCATAACTCTCATTGATTTTATCCAAATTCAAAATTATTACGACCGTTGGAAAGTTTATTATCCATTAACAGTCAGACCTTCCACCATTATGTTTACAAAAGGAATGAAATCGTGTAGACAGTTTCTATACTTTGAATACACTTCATTTACCACGACATCTATTTATCAATCCAAGGTTGAAATCGTTTCCTACGTTGTAAAGTGTTGGGATTTGAAATTATCATTAGAAAATTTTCTTCTTCAAATATTTAAACAAATGAATATCAAACAATTTTCAATTGTTCTTTTGCCTTCTGAGAAAGAAAATACTAAGGTATGACAACGTTTCCCTCTATCATTGGAATCCGAATATTTACTTCACTAAATGTCAAAAATTGAACATTATGTCAAAAAATTCACTAATTTCGTGGTCCGCTTAACCAATTAAATCATTACAATTAATTAAGGTTTTTAGTTGAGATGAAAAAAGTTAATGGCACGAGAGGGATTCGAACCCACGACCTTCGGCTAGATACGCCGCTGCTCTACCACCTGAGCTATCGTGACCTCGATCCACTCGGACATCAACTCCCCATCTCAACCGTGGGGAAATGAGTGAATTTAATGAATTAAAATGAAGTACACTTCACTAAAGCTCTCCGTCGCCATTTCAATTGTCGTCGAGAATCCAATCCGATTACACGACATTTGAACAATGGCAAAAGGAGGGAAAACTCATAAGGTGGGGTAGAGATGGGGAGTTGATTTCCGAGTGGATCGAGGTCACGATAGCTCAGGTGGTAGAGCAGCGGCGTATCTAGCCGAAGGTCGTGGGTTCGAATCCCTCTCGTGCCATTAACTTTTTTTCATCTCAACTAAAAACCTTAATTAATTGTAATTATGTCAAAAATTAACAAAATGAATAAAAACATGAAAAGTAGGCTAAAATTATAAAATATTAATATAGGATAGTATTGAGAAAAGGCCGGTTGTGGCACACGTGACGGAGTCTGATGGGGAATGTCTCCATGAGTTCACCCTTATTTTATGGTGGTCACAACCAACATCAAACCCCTTGACTCAGTAACGTCATCATAAGGCAAAAAATAAGGGTGGTAAAAACCCTTGTCAAATCCATGGTGAAAGACAAAGTCAAATTAAGAATGGTGTCAACCCTCATCAATCATTTTTTCAAATTCACCAAAATTGTACTCGTCCGACTCGTAGCCCATTCCTAGCGTAGCCCATTGAATTTTAATAAGTATTATGCAAAAGGCTATCAAATGATCAACAATATTGATGAACAAACTGACAATCGATTTATGAATCCCTTAACTTGCTTTA